AGAGCGCTGCTGCTGTGTTTTTACAAAAACAAAATTCAAAAAAAATTCTCTGGCACTAACCCTTGTTCACAATCGCAGATACAGCACTGCAGTCAACTTGGTCTCTTCTTGCTGTGAATGTTGAGCCAAGAAATCCAGTGGTGTCCTTCTTGGTGCTTGTTCGATGCATTTTGCTTTCTTTGTTTCGTTCGATCTGCAAACAACGCAGAACGAAGTTTGCGGGGTCGCTCGTTGTCCGACGGGACTCGAACGACGGCTGGAGACCTTTGGGGGCTCACCGCTTCTTTGGGCAGTTGCTGGACGGTTCTCTTCTCCTTTGTTTGTCGCTGAGTAGTTGCACAGTTTGGAGGGTTAGCTCGCTGAGAGGCTTGTGCAGTACNNAGTTTTCGAACCTGCGGTTTTTGCCGGCCCTGTTTTAGTTAGCTCTTTGAAGCTTTTACCAGTTTTCTTGAAGATTGTCATTCTCGGTTTCTTAGCTTTCTTACTGGGACCGAGCGCAGCAACCGCTGTCACAGGCCCGCATACGCCACGCATTTCGGGATTCTGGCACGATCGAACTTCAAGGCTTGTGTGCGAGTTACAGTGCGGTGTGGAATCCATAGAGAGGTCAAAAAGTATAAGCCATGTGTGTATTGATTGCATTCGTGCTAGCCGCTAGCCGGCTAGCCGAGACGTCTAAAGCAGACTTTGATGTCGAACAGAAGCGGAATAAACCACAGCGTCGGACATGTTGCAGACTTCCACATGTGCCTATTCTTGCCAAGGCTTTGCGACTGCACAGCATCTTGCTTCGAGGCCTTTGACCAAATGCCGAACGAGTCCTCCAGCTTTGGAGCTGCGGTCGTGTTTCCGGCAAGCCCAAACAAAAAAGCTGAGCGAAAGTATCCTTCATCGAGCCTGCTTTAGTCTTCCTGCTGTTCTGTAACTTGCGTCTCACACCTAAGGGGGGCTAGAGCAGCTCCGCATAGCAAGGCTATGCATCGCCTGAATATTCCGAGCACACCTTGACGAAAAGAACTGCTGCGCGCTTCTTTTGCCCAGAGCTTAAGTAGGTCGCTAAGGAAACTAAGTCAGTCAGAACTGTGTTGACTCGCTTTGCTTACACGATAGAAAGCTGTAGCCAAGGCAAGGTATCGCTTGGACAGCAGTATTTTAACTTGCATGTTGGAGACAACGAGCCAAGTCAGTCTTACGAAGCCTGAATCAAGTTCGTGGCTTCATGTTGACTTTGTTCAGCTTTTTTCAGCCCGCCCGTTTGCCAGCTGCCCTGTCCGCCGGCTTTCCATGCCAGGCTTGTGTTTGCAGTAGGATTGGAGGGGTGAACAGAAGAAGATGCAACATAACATCCTGGATTTTCATCCAAAACATGCCGTTCTGCCCCACCTCCCGGATCCGACTGCATAGATGGCACAGACGTTCAAGAAAAAACGAAGTTTGGCCGTCAAGTCAAAAGATAAAAATTGGTACCCCAGAGGTTCGGCACCGAGGGACCCGATCTTGATTGCCGCAGGCTGATGCACCAGCAGTACTCATGCTTCCGGGTATATGCAGCTTGGAAGCTTGAAATAAAAAGAACCAAACCACATGTGTCTGTCTTCACTGCGTGAGCGCCGTCTAAGCTCATCCATGCATAAAGATTTCCCTGTCGCATAAGACATGGCAGCCATGGACATGGATTCGGAACTGTTACATGCTTTCGCAGCCCATTCAAGCGGTGAATGGGCGGGTTGGCGTTGCGAGTTCTCAGCCGAAGGCAAGCATTTGCCAGTTCCAGAGCGCTTTGTGCCACCCGAAATGTTGGACTGGGGAGCAGGCCCGATGGGAATGGAGGTTCTGGTTTCAGAGCTTGTCGGCTCAACACATCGGCGACGGCAGTTGCAGCTACTCCCGGAAATCGGCTGATCCTCAGAGCTCACGCGGGTCTCGGTGGACCGCTTCGAGCGGGCCCCTCATGTCTCTGGATCTGCCGACACATATGCTTTAGATGTTTCGGAGGCTGGGAAGTGCAGCCTTGAGACGATTTTTGCCACTTCCAGCCCTCCTGGCAAAGACGACAAAACCAACTGCAGAGACACCTACGGGACCTTGGCTCGCCGGATTCGTATTGAGACAGTAGTGAAGAGCGAAGGAGAGACGTGGCGGCTCACGGCGTTGCAGATGTCCGTGGAGCGAAAATGGCATGTAGATGGCTTCTCTTTGGATGTTTCGCCCATCGTGAACACAGTTGACGGTGGACGTATCACACCCTCAGGCCTGAGCCTCGACGAGATTCACTCGGCTGTCGCATCCGACTGCTTCGAGGTGTCAGGTGCTGGCATGGGGGAGGATGGGCGATTGCGCTTACCCTTGGGAGTATCGATAACCTGCGGGGAGACATGGCTAGAGGTCGCCTTCAAAGACAAAACAGGTATGGAGCGCATTTTGCGAAGAGACTTTTTGTCGCAAAGCGACGCTCCCAAAGTCACTGTCAGGACAAGTTAAGCTTTTTGCAGTACTTGCTCTCAGTGCGAGGATTCGTCATGTTTGGACTTCTAGCTGCAGCATCTGTGTGAAGCCGTCGTTGGCAAGCTCGGTTGTAGGAGAACGAAACGAGAATCTTCCAGATTCATAGATCGCTACAGGTAATAACCAGCCGTGCTTTCCCTGGGGGTTGATTTGATCGAGCAGAAAGTGAGACATGGACCAGACGAGGGCACCTCGGAGCTGCGTGAAAAAGAGCTGCACGCAGAGTCAGAGATCAGCAGCAGCAGGGAGAGAGACCGAGCAACTTAGCACGTCGTCCTCGGAGTCGTCTTCTCGTCTTAGACTTGAAGCCTTTGGCCAGGTACCCCTCCACCTCGCAGCACCTCCAGCTTGCGCCGGACAGCAAAACGTTTAGCACAGGCTGTGGATTATCGGCCCGGGTTTCCTGCAGTTGGGGCTTGTTCTGCATCCGTCCTGCTGGAACTGCGCGTGTAATGTTTTTCGAAAAAGTCGGTGTCACGCTGTGCGACTTGCCACCTCCACCCTTCGCCCCCATCGTTTGCACGCAGCCGCTTCGTCTTACCCTGTGAACTCCGACCACATCCACAACAAGGAAAAACTGTGACCCACATCACCTGTCTTATGATGCCGCCAAACGAACACTGGTGATGTATTCGGGAGAAGTTGGCATCGATTCAGGGCAGGGTTTCGGGCAGGGGGCCGGGTCCGGTTGTTCGCGCTTCCGTCAGTGGAACGCCGCTCTTGTCTTGAGCTTCACCATAGGTTGCCAGGTCTCCTTGCATTCGAGTTCGGTTCGAGAGCCGTGCAAAGCACGTATGAGCCAGCAGTTCTCCGGCCTTGCGGATGGAAGCGGCCGCCGTCGAAAATCTCGAAACCTCTGCCTCGGTGGACCCGACGTCGACCATCGGCCGAGAAAGAGCTTCCAAGAAGAATGTCAAAGTTACTGGCAGTTTCCTACGGGCTTCCAGTGAAAATCTCGCACATCGACATTGGATTCGGCTTCAAGCTGTTCTTCAAAGCTATTGGTTGGCAAATTTCATGGCTGCGTTGATACTCATCGATGCGTACTGCACGATGGTAGACATTGATGCAACGGCTTCGCGGACGACCCCGCCAGAAATCTTCGCCTTTATCTCAGACTTTTGCTTAGTAGTTTACACCCTTGAAGTCGCCGCCCTGACTGCTTGTTTTGGTTGGAGAATGTTTCTGAACGATGGTATGATGATTTTGGACGTTGTCATCGTCGGATGTGGCTGGGCGGAGAAGCTCATCTCCTCGCTGGCTGACGGGGCCCTCGGCTTCCGCACGGCAGTGCTGCGAGCCCTGCGGCTGGTGAGGATTTTCAGGCTCATGCGGTTGTTGAAGCAGAGGCATGCATTAGGAAGTTGTTGTTGACGTGGAAATAAGCTTAGTCCAACAAGCCGTCATCTTACATGACAGTGTGACCTAGGAAAAGGATACGACCTTTGCGAGAGTTGCACAAGCTTGTCATGATGATGGCAACGTGCTTCAGGGCACTGCTGTGGTCTTTCTTGCTGTGCTTCGTAGTAATGACCGTATGGGCAATGCTGATGCTTGGCTTTGTTGGGTAACATGCTGCAGTTTTGAGTTGCGAAACATAGCATAGTCCAGAGTGATCCTGTACGCACTATCCCAGGATGGTTGAGGTGGTCAATCCGCATGTGCAAGAGATGCACAGGGACCTAGATGTGTTTAACGACTGCCATCCGCAATGTACGAGGGCGGTGTCATCCGCTGCTGGGCTTAGTTGGTGTGCTCTTGCCTTTTGTTTTGGTTGCGTGGTGTTGTGATTGAAACTCTAGTCTCGAACAGTCGCCTGTCAGATCGCATGTCTTCCGAAGGTGATGTATGCCAATCTGCTGCTGTTCAAGACAGTGATTGCTGGCGATAGCTGGGGTGAGATAGCTGTTCCAGTCATCCAGGCTGCTGGCACGGGCTCAGGGGGGCAAGAGCGCAAAGAGGCAATGTTTGCATAGCCCCGACAGGTTGTCCACATCAAGGTAGGTCAGTTTTTGAAGTCATTGCTTTAGCTTGGTCCAGCTGCAGCAGGAGCATCCAGCGACGGCCGTGATTTTCATCGGCTCTTCACTGACATTGGTCTTTGGAGTCCTGAATCTTATTGCAGCTGTGCATGCACTGGTCTGGTGTAGGATCGGCGTTTCAGGAGTGTCAGTCAATTTTTTCGGGGCGAAACTCCCGATTTTGACCAGAACAAATCCCGTCGGTTCCCTGCCCGGCTCGCCCGGCTCACGGGAGCCGCGGGAGCCGCTGCCAGGTTGCGGTTGTTGTTGACACCTTCGCAGATGCCCGGCTCAACGATGTCCAGAATTTGGCCGAGGAGATGGAAGATGAAATCGAACATGACAGTGACTCGGCGATGCGAGCGGCAGAGGCATTGCAATCTTGTCGCAGCAGAACCCCAAACTGAGGAAAGGCCTTGGGCAAGCTGTTTGCGAGAATCGACAAGGATGGGAGTGGGCAGCTCTCCCTACAGGAACTAATTGAAGGAGCACGGCACGACTCGGGCTTTCAAAGCCGCCTGCGAGTTATGGACCCCAATGTGCGAGAGCAGAGTTTGGTTTTCATAAGATAGTCAGGTTCAGGTGAAGAGCTTTCGCAGGGTTTGGAGATGTTTGGAGTGTGAGGACATCGATGAGCAAGACTTAGAGCAGCTCTTCCAAATGATCGACCAAGATCAGTCCGGAACCATCGAGGTTGCTGAGTTCATTGGTCCTCTCAGCAGGTGGGCGCATGATTCAAAGACTGCTCCCCGGTTCATCAAGTACAACATGATACAATCCATGCATCTCCAAGAAGATCTCTATGATCTTTGCGGAGATTGCTTTCAGCAATTGGCTGCAAGGGTTGAGGACTTGTCGCTTCAAGTCCGCATGCTAAAGCAGGGCAATTCCAAGGGCCATGTGGGCCAGGGCCACGAGCAAGAGCTCAGTAATGACGGCGAATCTGGTGAGGTGCAAAAGTCGGACTCACTCGCTTCCGACAGTCCGACGGAGGATCTGCAAGAGTGTCCGTCCCGCCTCGAAGCTTGGCCGTCTAAGGTGGTTCTGTGGTGCGCTGAAGTGCTGTTATTCTTGCAACTTATGGGTGATTTCACACTATTGCGACTCCCATCGTGATCGTGTTCAGTTCTCGTGCGACAAATAGCGACTACTACTGGTACTACGACGACGACGACTACTACTACGACTACTAGTACGATTATGTTTATTGTTAGTAGTAGTAGTAGTAGTAGTAGTAGTACTACTACTACTACTACTACTACTGCTACTGCTAAGCACTCCGGCTCAGCTGTGTCCCAGCAGCGGGACTCATAGTTGTGGAGGCGGTAGCATCTATTCCATGGAGCAAACCTTGCGGTGGAGTCCGGCTCCGAAGCGCGATGGTCACATTCCTAGTGCAGCGAGCCGCGCTAGCTACCGTTGACGCTCGCTAGCTGGGTGCCTCTTGGCCCCAACAAAGGGCGCATGGGTCGACTGAATGCCTCTGCCCCTGGCCTGCCAACACATCAGTCTCTGTGCCCACCAGCCACACCAGCACGGACTCCTGTGACCGGAGAAAGGCTACCTCTGCCTTCGTGCCACTGTCTGTGGGCACGGGGAGCTAGCCCCGTTGCAAATGCGTGTCTACCAGCAGCCAGGAGTTGGCGCAACTTTTCCTGCAGCTGGCGCAAGCAAGACGTGGATGCCACCTGCACTCCTCCTGGGCGCGCGCCGTCAGGCGGCCCCATTGAGAGAGAGCATAGTGCTACACCTCCTTATAGATAGCCGGCTCGGTCCCAAGTCCGGGGTGGGATGCCGACTGACGACTCTACTTATATTGCTGCATTGTCAGGTGTCCCACAGTGTGAGGGTTCCAGCTCTCTCCGTTGGAGCTGGGGAAGGCAACTTCCTTGCCTATCCGCGACGACTTCAAGTGCCGAAGTTAAACGGAATACAAGTCACAAATGGGAAGCAGGAACCTACTCATCAGTGGAACCGATGTGTCAAGAGATCTTTTGCGCGAGCTTGCAATAGAGCTATTCGACATGGCCAAGCGCAGCCCTTGTACCTGTGTACCTTTCGTTTCCTTCAGATACCCGAGGAGTGTGTAGTTGCAGATCATCGCTGCCTTGTCCCGAATGCTGACCGAAAGCCGGCGGCGGCAACCTACCCCATCCTCAGATGGGATGGCCCGCACTGGGTCCCGGCCCCACGTATGCTTCGAGATGTAGTCTGGATTCTGATGTTAGTAAGTGCGAGAAAGCTGTGTTCTGGCGATGCTCTGCGGCGAGACCTCCCTTGGGTGCTGAACTACACGGTTCTCAGTGTGCCCTCCAAAGGCCACTGGACTACAGGGTGCTGAACGTGGTCCTCAGTGTGCCTTCCTGGGGCCACTGCAGTTCTCAGCACTGCACTTTTGTAGAGAAAAACACCATGATCAACGCAAGATGCCATAACAGATGGCTTTAGCGATGTCGATAGTTCTACGACCTTTTTTCACGTTTTACGTCCTCGCTTTCTACTTATCTGATTTTGCACTCTTTTGATCGAGTGAAGGGTGCACTGGTGCACCATTCTCTTGACAAGTTGAGTAGGTCGCAAGTTTGCAGCTATTCGTAGCGGGATTTGCCCATGTGGTTCCAGTGCTCTTGAAGCACCGGTGCAATGCGCTGCCCTGCTACTACTGCTACTACTACTACTGCTACTACTACTACTACTAAGCGCCTCGGCTCGCAAACGTGTAGTCCCCCTCTTCGTGGTCTTTGGGTGTTTGGAGGCTCCTGTCCCCCCTTTCTTGGCTTTGCCTGCCGGTTTCTCTTCTGTGGCTCGGGGCCTGTTCGTACAGGGCTTAGCATGCAAGCATGGCCCCAGCTCAGCCTCAGCTTGTGGCTTTTCCTGGTCGCAACAAGATCCCAAACGGCACTGGCTGGATGTGGGAAACTGCTCTGGAATTTCAG